ACCATAAGTTTGATGTCTTCCCAATGTTTAAAACTTTGCTGATGACATCCATGGTGATATTAACAAATTTTTTGATAATGGAATGTGTCAACATTTGGAATATCTGCATAATTTAGTGAAACATCTTCCAAATGATTTATGTATGATAAAATGTATAACTCGATAGTGGCACCAATCAACCTACAGATATTTGAGTAAAAGATCCATTCAAAGTTCAAGATAAGGTGATGGTTTTTTAAAAAAAATTATTATTTTTTATTTTAAAGTATATTTTATTGATTATACTATTACAGTCGTCCCATTTTTCTCTCCCCTTTATCCCCTTCTGCCCTGTACCCCCTCCCACCAGCAATGGGTTTTTAAGTAATAAAGTTTGAAAACTTTATTGCTATTGGTTTCAGATTCTATATTGTAACTTCCCTTCAATAAAATACCACTTGTTGAGTTTTGATGTATTATCAGAGAATGATATCCATATGGTTGTCTAAAAGGGCTATTAAAATATCACTCCCTTTTAAAACTATACATATAGCAGTGTGATGTTAGATTTTCTTTATAATAAGACATAATTAACCAAAGAAAATATAACCAAAACAGCATTTTGTAACAGAATAAATGCAGAAGCAGATACAGAAATCTATCTGTATTCTAATAATCCAGATATAAAGATTTAGAAATATGTAAAACAATGACATTCTCTCCACTAATTTGTTTTGGAAAACAGTTATTTTTTAATATAAATGTGCTAACATAGTTATCATTGTTATTTTTGAATAATTAATGATTGCTATTTCTAATATACTATCTAGGAAGACATACATATAAACGTGATATACATAAGATGAGGAAAGTGTAAAGAGGTCTTACAGAGTGTTATTAAGCATGGACAAGGGGCAGCCAACCTAGTCAGGGGAGGCAAGAGAAGACTTTCTAAAGGAGATGATCCTGAGCTGAGCCTTAAACCATGAGGAAACAACTTGGTAAACCTCTTCAGTAAACTTCCCTGACCTATATTAGAATGTAATAAATGTTATCTTTTTAAAAAAAATTTTATATCATGTTTATTCTAGTACAGTTGTCTCAATTTTTCCCACTTTGCCCCCCCTCCACCCATCCCATCTCCAGTCCCCTCCCACACAGTCAATTCCCACTCTGTTGTTCATGTTCTTTGTCTAGTCCCTTCCCCTTCTTTCCATCATTGTCCTCTTTCCCCATCCCCTCTGGGCACTTTCAGTCTGCTCCATGTTTCCGTGCCTGTGGTTTATTTTGTTCATTAGTTTATTTTTTGAATAGAGTCCACTTATAGGTGAGATCATATGGTATTTGTCTTTCACCAGCTGGCTTATTTCACTTAGCATAATATCCTCCATTTCCGTCCATGTTATTGCAAAAGGTAGGAGTTCTTTCTTTCTTTTTTCTTTCTTTCTTACTTAAATGCAGATTGACTTTATTTTTTTAAATGTCAAAGTCAATTATAAAATATTAAAAATTTTAATCCATTATGAAGTCTTAGCAATTAAAATAACATGACACCAGCACAGAAATAATCAAGTAAATCAATGAAATATAATGAGCATTCTAGAAACAAACGTATATATGTCTAATAATGTAATATATCATTAAATTGATACTTCAAATCAATGGGGAAATCAATGTCAGATGTTTTTTCCTGGTCTGACCTTAGGCAGTCTGAGACTTCCAGGAATCTACTGTCTGTGGCTGTCTTCTTCAGCTGTTAATCTAGATAAATGTTGTCTTTATATTTGAATTTGACTTCCACGTAGCTTATGAAATGGTTATGGCTTAGAGCATAAGCATTAAAAAAATAGTCATGATTTTGCTCACTACTTCTTACTACTTCTGTCATATGCATCGAACCTTATTTGCAAGACTTGCAGCTCAGTTCTTTTCATGACTAATCCATTGGAGGTTGGGCACACCCACTTTTCCTTTTGACATGAATAATTATTGAAATCATCACTTTTTTCTTTCATTGTGGTTCTCCATCTGTGTCAAATGAACTCAATTTTTTAATGTTTAGAAGAAACTTTTCAAATACCTTATTGGCATGTGACTAGGCCTTATTAAGTTCTGTGTGGTATCATTTATTTGATTTTTGCTTAAAACCTAGGGCAGGTTGCATTCTGGTATCAGGAAATAATTAATGGTATATTGAGGCTAAGAAGTTTAAAGACTGAAAAAATGACTGGCAAAGTCCTATTTGTGGACTTTTAATTTCTCTACATTGTCCTCAAATATAGTAAGCCAAAAAGAAAAATAAGGTACTATGTGGTCTTACTCCTATTTGGAAGGAATTCAACCTTTTTCTTCTCTGAAAAAAATATGTCCCTCACTTGTCTTTGAAATAATCATCTGCTCAATAGTGGGATTGATCAACCTACTTTGTTGTTCTTTAATAGCACATTATATTCACTGTATATTTGGGGGCATCCTATGTTTTCCCAAACTTGATCTACTAAAAAATGACAATAAAAAGAAAAAAAATCTTACAATCTGTCTATAGGGAGTAATAAGTTAATTTTTAAGAATCAGATTCATTCACCCTGATATATTTTAGTCACTATAGTAGAGTAGCTAAGAGATGAAGAGGGAGTGTTTTAATAACATTCTTGTAGTTAGATTCTCCTATATTAAAAGAAAAATATAAGGAAGCCTAATCTGGGATTTCAAGGCATCTGGTGTTATCTAAGACAGATTGCTTCTATTTTTGATAAGAAACATCTGGAGCCCTGGCTTGGTGGCTCAGCTGGTTGGAGCATCGTCCTATACACCAAAAGTCTGTGGGTTAAATCCCTGGTCAGGGCATACACCTAGGTTGAGGATTTGGTCCCCCGTTGTGGAGCATGCAGGAGGTCACTGATCAATGCTTATCTCTCACATTGATGTTTCTCTCTCCCCACAATCTCTCTCTCTCTCTAAAAAAAAAAAAAATCAATAAACATATCCTTGGGTGAGGATTTAAAAAAAAAAAAAAAAAGCTTCTGGAGATCCAAGATGGCAGCAGAGTGGGTGGAAATTACACTCATCCCCTCCCAGGAACAAACTGGAATTACAACTACATTATACAACAATCAACCTGAATAACCAACTGAAGACTATATGAACAGAAGTCTTATAACCAAGGATTTACATAAGAAGCCACATTGAGACTGGTGAAAATTGCAGAGATTTGAAAATGACTGGCCCCACACCCATGTGTGGTGGTTGGGAATCTGGAGGGATATCTCAGCTTTAAAGATTCCCCCTGAGGAATGAGGGGTCTCACCCCCACGATGAGCTCCCCAACCCAGAGCACCAGAGCCAGGAGGGGGAGTCCACATAACACCTGACTGTGAAATACAGTAGGGATCCCCCATCCACCAGAGGGAGATAAGAGTCCCCTAGAAACCCAGAGTACTTTTAAAGGGCCACCTGCAAAATCTCATTCACCACTACTCACCCTGGGCTCCAGCAGAGGGAAGGTAGCTCAGAGCTGACTGGAGTCATAAAAGGAGGCTGGGTTGTGTGGATTTGGGGAGAGCCCTGAATGAACAGTCAAGAAAGTCCTTATGCTAAGTTCATTTACCACACTGCCCAGAGACACCATCTTTCCTGGGTCAAGCACATCCCTGCATCAGCCTAGGGAAATGCATTAGCTACGACTGTCCCTGTAGTCCCACCCTGCTTAGCTAATGCCCTGTGGAGGAGTCAGTTGGTTGTGGTTAGCATGGACCACAGTGCAGACTTTCTAAGCTCTCTAGGAGATCTGGGCAGACTCAGGGGTGGCAGAGAGAGATTGAGTTGTAAAACTCTAGGGAGAGGGCCATTTTTCCCTTGCACACATGAATAGTGTCACCATTCCTGTGCCGCGCACCCTGTCTGCATGGAAAATCTTAGTCTGTTTTAGCCTGATTAACTCTATTCACCTCACCATGACAACTCCGTGAGACACTGTCCCTCCACAAATGCCCATCTGTAGGCCCCAGGTGGGTGGCGGCTGGCCTTGGTGTACACTGAAACTTTTGCAGAATGGCCTCAGACCCAGCACTAGCATCCAGTTTGAAACACTAGAGGTATCCTGCAGGCAAAGGCAGATCTCGGGGTAACTTGGGCCTTTTGCTGACCTGACTCCAGGCTCATTGTGGAAGAAGCCAGCCTTGGCATGCAGCTTGGATCCACCCATGTGCACCCAGCCCAGCAGAGGCAGTCAAAAACTGTGGATTGCATTTAGTTCCAAACAGGTAGCCAGGGAAGCCACAGGCAGCATCTGACATTAACCTGCACTAAAGTCCCTTCCAAGAGACTCCAGACCAATACATCCGATGGCAGATTTCAGACCACATCAGAGCATGACCTAATTGGCACCACAAGTGACACACAAAGGGAGATCTCAGCAGGCACCAGACTCTGTTGTGACAAATTCAGCTTCATGGGGCCAGGCCCTGCATAGCAGCTCATACACTGTGGTTGGGGGTCCATCCTCATATTCAGCCAGACCGAGGATCCAACCAACCCATGGATGGGGCAACACTAATTAAAACTCAACTATAACAGGAGAGTTCACATAACCATATGGGAGACATAGCAGATCTACCTAATACACAGAAACAAATACAGAGAGGCAACCAAAGTAAAAAGACAAGGAAATAGACCCCAAATGAAAAGACAAAAAATTCCTCCAAGAAGTAAATGAAATGGAGGCAATCTACCAGATAAAATTTCAAGCCATAGCTATAAGGATGCTCAAAAAGCTTAGGGGAAGAATGGATGAACTTGATGAGAACTTCTATAAAGATATAGTAATTATAAAAGATGATATAGAAACAATAAAAATAACCAGACAGAAATGAAGAATATAATATGTGAAATGAAGAATAAACTAGAAGAAACCAACAGCAGATTAAATGAAGCAGAGTATCGAATTAGCAATTTGGACTACAAGATACCGAATAGAAAAGACCCAATCAGAGCAGCAAAAAATTTTTTTTTAAATGGTACTAGTGTCACTTTTATAGCATATATACTAAAATCAGAATGCTACAGAGAAAATGAGCATAGCCCCTATGCAGGGATGACATGAAAATTCTGAAGTGTTCCATATTTTTTATGCCCTGGCCACTGTGGCTCAGATGTTAGAGCATTGTCCTATAAACTGAAAGGTTGTAGGTTTGACTCCCAGTCAGGGCACATGCCTGGGAAGTGGGTTCAGTGCCCAGTAGGAGCACATGCAAGAGGAAATTGATGTTTATTTCTTACATCAATGTTTCTCTTCCTCTTTCTCTCCATCCACTCTCCCTCTAAAATCCATAAGCATGTCCTTGGGTACAGATTTAAAAAATTTAAAAATTTGAAGTGAGAGTAATTTATGGGACCTCTGGGACAACATCAAGCCTAACAGTATCTGCCTTATCGGTATACCAGAAGGAAAAGAGACAGAACAAGGGATTGAGAACCTATTTGAAGAAATAATGACTGAAAAATTCTTTACACTTGTCAAGGAAAAAGACACACAAGTTCAGGAAGTGTAGAGAGTTCCAAAAAAGATGAACCCAAATAGACCCATACCAAGACACTTCATAATTAAAATGGCAAAGGTTAAAGACAGAGAAAATTTAAAGTAGCAATAGAAAAACAGTTACCTACAAGACAGCTCCCATAAGACTGTCAGTTGATTTCTCAGTAGAAACATTTCAGGCCAGAAAGGATAGGCACAAAATATTCAAAGAGATGAAAAGCAAGGACCTATAACTAAGACTAGATTACTCAGCAAGGCTACCATTTGAAACTGAAGAAGAAATAAAAAGCTTACCAGACTAGAAAAAAACTAAAGGAGTTCTTCACCACCAAACAAGTATTACAAGAAATGTTATAGAAATTTTTGGATGACAAAGAAAAGAAGGAACATAATTGTAAGAAACAAAATATGTACAATATGGCAAGTAATACACATTTATCAATAATCGCTTTTTAAAAGATCTTCACCTGAGGACATTTTCATTTGCTTTTTAGAAAGAGAGAGTAAAGGAGAGAAAAGGGAGCGATAGAAGCATCAATGTGAGAGAAGCATTGACTGGTTTCCTCTATACAAACCCAGACTGGGGATCTGCATCAGGACCAGGGATTGTACGTGGCTGGACCAGGGATGAACCCATAATCTAGGTACGTGGGAATCAAATCTACAAACTTTCAGTTACAGGACAACACTCCAACCACTGTGCCACATGGGCCAGGGCTATAAATAATCACTTTAATGTAAATGTATTACATGCTCTAATCAAAAGACATAGGTTAGTTAAATGGAAAATAAAACAAGACTGATATATATGTTGTTTACAAGACACCCACTTCAGAATGAAAGATGCACAGGCTGAAAGTAATGGGTTGAAAAAAAATTTATGTAAATGGAAATTTAAAAAAAAAGATGGGATAACAATACTTGCATCAGGCAAAATACAACAAAAGCTATAATAAGAGACAAAAAAGGAAATTACATAATAATAAAGGGATCAATCCAATAAGAGGACATAGAAAACATTTATACACCCAACGTAGGAGTGCCTATAAAAACAAATATTGCTGAATGTAAAGGGAGAGACTGACAATAATATGCTTATAGTAGGTGTTTTAACACCTTATTGACATCAATGATGTTACAAGCAGAAGAACAAGGAAACAGGAGCCTTAAATGACACACTAGACAAAATGGATTTAATCAATATTTTGACAATATTTCACCTCAAAGCAGCAGAATACAAATTCTTTTCAAGTGCATATGGAAAATTTTCCAGGATAGACCTGGTCATGTCTAGTCCAGACATGTTAGGACACAAAACAAGTTTCAATAAAGAAGATTAAAATCATATCAAGCACCTTCTCTGAACATAATGGTATGAAACTAGAAAATCAAAAAAGCACTAAAAAACACACAAATACATGGAGACTAAATAACGTATTACTAAACAATAAATGGGTTAGCATATATGATGAGATTAAGAAAGAAATAAAAAGATACCTTGAAACTAATGAAAATCAGAACACTGCAACCAAAAATCTATGGGACGTAGCAAAAGCCGTCCTAAGAGGGAAATTCATAATAATATGGGCTTACTTACTTAAAGAAAAGAAAATAAACAATCTAACTTCCATCTAAAGGAACCATAAAAACAACAACAAACAAGGCCCAAAGTGAGCAGAAAGAAGGAAAATATAAATATCAAAGCAGAGATAAATAAAAGAGTCTGAAAAAGAATACAAAAAATTAATGAAACAAAGAACTGCTTCTTCGAAGACATAAACAAGATTGATAAATCTTTAATCAGACTTAACAAGAACAAAAGAAAGAGGACTCAAAGAAATAAAATCAGAAATGAAAGAGAAGTAACAACTGACACCAAAGAAATACAAAAGATTATGAAAAAAAATATGACAACTATATGCTAACAAATTGGACAATCTGGATGAAGTGGATAAATTCCTAGAAATATACAATCTTCCAAAATTGAATCAGGAAGAAACAGAAAATCAGAACAGTCTGATTACAACCAACAAAACTGAAGCAGTAATAAATAAACTCTCAACAAATAAAATTCCTGCACCTGATTGTTTCATAGGTGAATTTTATCAAACATTCAAAAAAGAACTAACACCCACCCTTCTCAAATTATTCCAAAAAATTCAAGCACAGGGAAGACTCTGAAGCTCATTTTACGAGGCCAGTATTGCTCTAATTCCAGAACCAGATAAAGCCAGTACAAGGAAAAAAAATTATAAGCCAGTATCCTTGATGAGCAAGTGTGCTAAAATCCTCAACAAAATATTAGCAAACAAGATCCAGCAATACATTAAAAAGATCATACACCATGATCAAGTAGGATTCATTCTAGGGATGCAAGGTTGGTAACAATATCTGCAAATCAATTAACATGATATACCACATAAAACAAAGGATAAAAAGATATGATCACATCAATAGATGCAAATAAAGCATTTGAGAAAATCCAGCACACATTTACAATAAAAACTCTCAGCAAAGTGGGAAAAGAAGGGATACATCTTAACACAATAAAGGACATATATGACAAATCAACAGCTAACATTATACTCAGAAAAGAAAAACTAAAAGCATTATCCTTAAGATCAGAAACAAGACAAGGATATCCAGTCAACTCATTCAACATAGTATTGGAAGTCCTAGCCATAGCGGTTAGAGAAGAAGAAATAAAAGGCATCCATACCGGAAAGAAAGAAGTATAACTGTCATTATTTATATTTGCAGATGACATGATACTGTATGTAGAAAACCCAAAATATTCCACCAAAAACTACTGGAATTGATAAATGAATTCAATAAAGTAGCAGGATACAAAATAAATATTCAAAAATTGACTGCATGTTTATACACCAAAAATGACCTGTCAGAAAGAGAAAGTAAGAACACAATCCCATTTACAATTGACTTAAAAAATATATCTAGGTATAAATTTAACCAAGGAGGAAAACGACTGGTACTTGGAAAATTATAAGACATTGAGGAAAGAAATTGGAGAAGATAGAAATAAATGGAAGTATATACTGTGTTCATGGATAAGAAATATTAACATCATTAAAATGTCAATATGACCCAAAGCAAACTGTATAGTTAACTCAATTCTCTTCAAAATACCAATGGTTGTTTTCACAGACCTAGAACAAATAATGCAAAAGCTTACATGGAACCACAAAAGATCTTGATTAGCCACAACAAGTTTGAGAAAAAAGAACAAAGTTGGAAGTATCATGCTACGTGATAGCAAACTATACAACAATGCTATAGTGATCAAAACAGCATATTACTGGCATAAAAACAGGCACATAGATCAATGGAACAGAACAGAGAGCCCAGAAATGAATCCATAGTGATTTGGTTAATTAATATTTGACAAAGGAGGCAAGAACATACAATGGGGTAAAAACAGTGTAGCCGATAAATGTTGTTGGGGACATTAGACAGATACATGAAAAAATGAATCTCGACCACCTTTGCACACTACATACAAGAATAAACTCAAAATGGATTAAAGACTTAAACAAAAGATGCAAAACCAGAAATCTCCTAGAAGAAAACATAGACAGTAAAATCTCTGACATTTCTCTTAGTGGTATTTTTTCCTGTGTATCTCCTTCAGCAAGGTAAACAATAGAAAAAAAAAATGGGACTACTGGTATATCAAACTGAAGTTTTTGCACAGCAAAGGAAACCATCAACAAAACAAAAAGAGAGGCTACTGAATGGGAGAATATATTTACCAATGATATATCTGGTAAGGCTTTAATATCCAAAAGTTATAAAGAACTTATACAACTCAAATCCCAAAAAACCCAAACAATCCAATTAAAAAATAGTCAGAGGACCTGAATGGGTACTTCTCCAAAGAAAATGTACAGAGGGGCAATAGACATATGAAAAGAGGCTCAATGTCACTAATCATCAGAGAAATACTAATTAAAGCCACAATGATATATCTCCTCACACCAGTCAGAATGGGAGCATCAATAAATCTCCAACAAGTGCTGGAGAGGATGTGGAGAAAAGGAACCCTTGAGCACTGTTGGAGGGAATGTACACTGGCACACCCACTATGGAAACAGTATGGTGGTTCCTCAAAAATTTAAAATGGAACTACATTATGACCCAGTGATTTCACTTCTGGGTATAGAGAAGCCCAAAACACTGATTCAATAGAATATATGCACCCCTATGTTCACTGCAGCATTATTTACAATAGCCACAGTATGGAAGCAACCCAAGTGCCCATTAATAAATGAGTTGATAAAAAGCTGTGGAACATACATACAATGGAATGTTACTCAGCCATAAAAAGAAAAAAAAGAAAATCTTACTATTTCCTGACAGTGTGTATGGACCTAGTGGGTATTATGCTAAGTGAAATGTCAGTCAAAGAAAGACAAATATCATATGATTTCCACTTATGTGTGGATTTTAAAGAATTAAATAAACAAACAGACACATAGATGTAGAGAACAGATTGATGGTTGCCAGAAGGAAGGGGGTTGGGGGACTGGGTGAAAAAGGTGAAGGGACTAAGAAGTACAGATTGGTGGTTAC